TGTGTCTGGCCAGTTGTGTGAGGGATTGGTGACAATCCCAAACCAATTTTGAAGTGATTTGGTGTGTACCAAGTGCTTTAATTGCAGCTTGACTGTCTGATAGAATATAGATATTCGTATTTTTGTAGTTTCATCTAAGTTCTCAACTGCGCATGCCTTAATGGCATACACTTCTACCTGGAATACTGTTGTATAGTGATCAAGGCTGAAACTGCGTTTCCGCCCTTTTCCATCACAGTACACTCCAGCTGTAGTGCCTTTATTTGTCTTGGAACCATCTGTATACCAGATTAGTCCCCCCTTTCTATCGGGTTGAAACCCTTCTTTCCATTCACTTCTATCAGGTAATCTGATCATGTAGGGTTTATCATAGACATGTTTCGATATCATTTTATCAGACCCCATCTGTAGGATGGGTTCCTTTTTCATGTCCTGAATCATGTATGCGTGTCCAAAACCTTCAGATTTATGTCTCCATTGATCATTGCAATGTAATCTGTAATTTCCTAACTCTGCTTCCATCTGCAGATGCAGTGGGGGGAGTCCTAGTAGGGTTTCCATTGCAGCGCTTGGAGCTGTTCTCATTGCTCCCGCAATTCCCAAGCAGGCCTTTGCAATTTGCTTAGTTCAGCCAGACCTGTTTTAAGTTTAACACTAGGCCACCATATAGTGGCAGCATAGGTAATTATGGGTCTTACTACAGCAGTATATATCCAATACACCACATTTGGTTTCAGTCCCCAAGTTTTTCCAAACATGCCTCTGCATGTTCAGAATGCCTTATAGGCCTTGTTAATAGCCTTGTCCAGCTGTTTTCTACATGTCAAGTCCCTATTCTAATGTTATTCCAAGGTACTTGACTTCACTGGATAGCCGGATCACTTGACTGAAGGGGATTGGTTCCTTGAGCCCCTTGATATTCCTCCTCCTAGTAAAGGGTATAATTACTGTATTGTTTGGATTGATAGACAAGTTTGTTCTTTCGCACCACTGTTGAGCTCTATGCAGGGCTGTTTGTAAGACTTCTGACACAGTGTAAGGGAATTTCCCATTTATTAGGATTGCTATATCGTCACCATATCGTACTGTAAATTGACCTTTACTGTTGAGCTCCCAAAGCAGATAATCCACGACCAGGCTCCACAACAGAGGCGAAAGAACACCTCCCTGCGGACACCCTCTCACTGTAGACACACTGAGGGTCTCTCCAGACAATGTAGCACTTATATTCCTGCTTTCCAGCATAACACAGATCCGTCTGCATATTGTGGCCTCATTGCCTTGCCTTTCAGCAGCCTGTTTTATTGTGTGAAGAGAGGTTCTCTCAAAGGCTCTCTCTATGTCAAGGAATGCTCCAAGAGCAATATCCTTGTGTTCGATGGCATTTTCTGTGCATGTCACCACACTGTGCAGTGCGGTTTTGGTAGATTTACCTATTTGCTAAGCATGTTGGTTTCGTTGCAGAGAATGAATCTTGAATACGCCGTCCCTAATATGTATCTACCACTTTCTCTATCGCTATCAAAAGGAAAGACGACAGGCTGATAGGATAATAAGTCTTAGCCTCGCTATAATCAAGTTTCCTGGGCTTCGATATAAATGTCAATTTGACTTGCCTCCAGGCCGTAGGGATAAACCCATGCGCCATGCAGGCTCTGAATATGCGACAGGTTCAGCTGGCCCCGCTGATCACCTGAATCATCAGTCAGCTTTGAATCGGGGAAGTGAACTCTGAACAGTTCTTTCAATGTCCCTTTCCCTCTTTGGGTATACTTACCATCAGGCAGCTTGATAGTACTGACCTTGTTGGTCGCCTGTTCCGTGACCCTCATGAGTCTGGCACTGCCTGGTACATCATTGATCTCCTGGCAGTGCCTCCTCCATGAGGATCACTCGACTTTCCTTATTTCTTTATTATAACAGGCAAGGGTTTCCTTATAGATGTCTCACAGCGCTGTTCTTTTTTCTATATTAAATAGTTTTCTTGTTTTAACTCTTAGTCCACTCAGCTTTTTATTCCACCAAGGTGCATTTCTTGGTAAGCGCGTTGTCTTGGCTGGACAATTATGATAATAGACAAGATGACGGCCCGTTGCAACTGGTCAACAGATCGATCTATGTCCCTTAACGTCCGTATATTTCGCGAAATAACCTCAAGATTCACCTTTAGGTCGTCCTTGTATGACTCCCGTTTGGTTCCCCTAGGATTCCTAAAGGTAACTTGTTTCGTTGTTATGCTACCTGTTTGAAAGTATATGTATCTGTGGTCCAATAGAGATGGCTCGCCAGATACATGCCAGTTACTTACCAGGTTTTCTGTTTTATCTCTCTCTAGTGTCAAGTCAATAACCTCCTTCCTATTGCAGACCACAAAGGTAGGTTCGTTACCATGATTTAGAATATTCACGTTTTAGCTGACAGAAATTCCATAAGACTTTCTCCCCATGGATTGATGCTGGTGCTCCCCCACAAAATGTGTGCATTGGCATCACACCCAATGATGAGTTGCTTTTTCCTGCTATAGCAGTAGTCTGTGATGTCCCTCATTTCCTTAGTTGGTGGTGGTTCATCTGAGTCATATGGAAGGTAGACTGAAGAAACAATCAGCTCCCTGCAACCTCCTCAATATGTGTATGTTATCCTTACCACTGTTGCATCCCTAGAACAGCTCCAGCAAAGGTAGGGCATTAATATGATTCCTGATATAAACACAGGATCTTGCATTATTGCCAGGTGCAGCAGAGTAAACTGTTCCCCCTGTGTTGGTTAAACCTCCTTATTTGACCCTTGTATAACCAAGGTTCCTGAATAAGTGCTACATCTGCCTTTCCCGCAGCTAGCTGTTGCCGTGGCAGCTTTGCTGTGGTGTAGGTTAATTTGATGGAATTTCATGTTATGTGTGTATTGTGTATGTGTTTACTGTTCTTTCTTAATCTCAGACTGGGTTCTATTTGAAGGGGTCCCCTGATCCGCTCTACTTTGCTCTGAAGGAGTGGGAATATCATCCCCCTCCCACTCAGAGCCCGATTTTGAAGATGCTATGTCTATCACAGTTTCTTTTTTTGTGCTGAGCCTCAGGGTCTTTCAACACCTTAACAGTCCCCTGTGAGAGCCTTGTGAGTATCTTATATCCGGTCCTCTGTGTAATGATATATGAGTCCCGGTCTATAGGTAGGATAAGCCTCTGGCCTTTCGCCTCAGATTGTTTATCAAGTACTCTCCAGTGCTCAGTATGGAGTCCTGGATTAAGATGTGCAATCCAAGTCAGTAGCTCTTCCTGATTCTGGGCAACTTTGTCCCTAATCCTGAGAGCCACCTTAACAGGCTTGGGCAGGTTCCTGGCATCAGTAGCCTTCAGCCTGGCCCCTGTTTCCAGCCACTGACCACACTGTTGCTTGGCACATATATAAATAAATGCGCTTCCAGTCTGTAGGACTTCAGGTGTGGAGTCCCACGTAACACCCCTCCCAGTACATCCAGAATGGAGTTCTTGTCATCTTCTGTTAACTTATCTTCAGGATACGTTTCCCTGAAGATTTATGTTGGTCACAGCCTCCTTGTAGGTCCCTGGTCCGTTAGCGTCCCTGGGCCGTTTTGGAGCTCTTACCGTTTCTGTGGGGGTACTGCCCTCTGACCTTGGCCTTTTAAATGTCCCAGTAAGGGTTTCTGCCTGCTTGGGCGAGCCTGCATTTCCTGGTTGCTGAATACCCCCAGTTCCTGCTTTGCTTGCTCTAGCTCTTGCCTTTTTAAGTTTCTGTCTGGCGCATCTGGACAGTGCCATCTTCACCAGAGACTAGGTGTCCCGGAACTTCTCCTACTGTAGGTACGCTAGAAGTACTAGCTCCCTGCAGTGGTATATCAGTACTACCGACTCCCAAGGGAGTGTTTCCTGGTTTTGCCTTGGGCAGGTTTCAAACCACTGGTTTGTCCCTGTCTTTGGCTGAAATTTCAACAGCAGGTTCGCTGGTTGCAACCAGGCACCTTAACGGTGCACTAGAGCTTCCTGCCCTCTGGTGAAATATTTCTCATAGGGATCCCCTTGGAGAGGAGTCCCTCTTTTGTTTAAGGTCCTTATGACCGGTTTTTATTTTCTACCCTTCATTTTGGTCCCGTGAGTCATGTGGATATAGAAGGTCACCACCCTCAGTGACCAGTACGGGTGGAAGGCATGAATACAACGGGGTGCTGCCTGGTGGCCCGAGGGGATCATTCATGACACCGGCTAATAACCACCCCAGTGCCACGCAGCCCTCAGTACGATGCCTCACACCTTGGCTTAGGTGGCTTGTTCCTGTTAAGGATAAACCTTCACAAGCCTCCAGGACCAAGAGTGTTCAATCAGATGGAGGGGGGTATCCCAGTAGAGTGTTGAGCCCAAAGGCTTGCGGCACCTTATCGATACTCTAGGGAGACAAGTCAAGTAGCCAAAGCTACCCCCATACAAGTGCTTTCCAGCATTCGTCCCGGGTACACCGTAGTGATACCCAAGAGTCATTATGCCACCGCATGAGAGGCTCCAGTTGTAATGTCATTGCCCTTTATGGGAACTTAGCCACCAGTCCCGGCTAATCATACTAGTCCAGACCCCGACATTGTCGTTGCCCAGCGAGACCATGAGGAGGTGTCGGAAGGCTGTGTCCCGACGCATCCCTGGTCCATGATGCGTCCCCACCAAAGACAAGCCGTAGTTCGGCCAACCTCATAGAGGATGGCATCATTACTACATGTAACACGTGACCTAAGAAAGTCACAGTTACTGCTGCCTCCCTTCTGAGTTGTTCGTGGGTGTGCACAAACAGGTCACCTAGCCATCTTCAAAATTCTGTGTAGAATGGCCTAGGTCACATATGGATGTCCCTGATTATTTCACCAACCAAAAGAATGCCAAATTTTGGGGAGCCAGTCAGCATGCAAGATATGTACTATATTTTGATTTTGGATGACTCAAAATACAAGAAACATGTGTGATTGCAGAGAAGCAAAGCATCAGACACCCCATGGATATGAACAGAGGTAGTCCATGACCATATTTTTCATAATTCGGATGTAGAAAGTTTGCAACACTTTAACATCTCCAAAGACTTATGAAATTTAGATTGTCAGTCACCAGATGAACTGAAGTCATTAAATTGTGTATGACTCCAGCCTTTCGATGAAGTTACTGGCTGATCTTTTGCGTGTAATTATTAACAATTGAATGACATGAATGCATAGCAACATTTTGAAAGAGTACAGTCACTTGCAACGTGTGATGTTGTAGACTGGACTCGGTGAATTCTTTTTATCAAACGATGAACAGTCATCTGTGCCTCTCCTCAGTTTACCAGTGTGATCACCTGAACACCTCTTTCAGCTTCATGTCTTACCTACAGAACCCAGGGGTACTTACCTGCAAGCTAAGTGCTCCTAGCCAAGTGTGTAGCTTCCACTGTGAGGCTGGGAAAGTTGATCATGATGTTCATTAAGAGTTGTTCTCCTCTTGTAGATATTAGTTGATACGGTCTGGGCACTGAGTTACCTAACAGATGGTGGCAATGAGCAGATTCAGATGGTGATTGATAGTGGAGTTGTTCCAAAGTTAATTCCATTGCTGTCGCACAAGGAAGTTAAGGTATGTATTGATAGCATGTGGCTACTGAGTTCATACTGTGTTTTTTCACATAATTTAGGCACTTTCCAAGCCAGGAATTCATGTACATAAGTTCTGGTCCCTAAAATATACAGATATTGCTTTTCAGAATATAATCACGATTTTATGGAATGACTGTAGATGGGGTTTAGATTGATAATTGGATTTATTGAATATGTACAGATCATAACTACAAGTAACTATAACACTGTCGCTAATTTACACACACCAGAGTTCACTACAGCATGCACCAAGTCTTCTCAGTCTGCTGTAGTTTCACTGGTTGTCACCTGGCAGCAGCTTCCAGTCCTGTAGCTTCCTTAGCTTCTGTGTTCATGTTCTTACATAACTCACTACCAGGCTGGTGGCCATTTCATACCAACCTCCTCTTTTCGCTCCTGTCACAAAACTCTTGTCATAATTGGAGCTGCTCCTTGTTATATAGCTTCAGCATGATGGACAGCACAGAAAACACTGCCTCCAACATTTCCTCCATTGTTGTCATATGGCTATCACTCAAACTGTGTAGAGAACACCATGACTTTGTTACTGTTTTAATGCCATTACCTAGCTTATAGAGCTACATTGCTCCCCTTAAGGCTCTTCATCCCGAATAGTCTACAGGCATACCACCATTTCATTTTCAAGAGCTGTACTCATTACATCTCTTATTGGCCTCACCTTCATTTCCCATGGCTTGGTTCTCACAGTGATTACTCTCGAACAGTTCCCGCAATTCCCTCCTTAATGCCGCTTATCCCAAGTGGTTCCCTTATAAGGTGCAAGCTGGTCCAGGTGTATCATCATCATCATCATCTGAGGGCTGTGGACAAAAGTGCAGACAGTGGCTGGTGCTTCTACATTTGAGGCTCTTAAGCTGCTAGTAAAAGTAAAGCAACCCCTTTAACAGGCTGTGAAGGCCCATAGTGTTGCGAGATGTTGAGGGTCCCACATTATCTAGACAATCGGCTCAAAGATGGTGGTAAGATTGTCAGCCTTATGCACTTCCGCTCTTTACTCCCCAAGAAAATTATTTAATTAATTCCTGGTACTCATTTTTGTTAGAGGCTGAGTCGACCCCAGGGCCATAGTGCGGCTGGAAGGATTAGGTCAATTGAAAAAATCCACTGACCTCATCGGGACTTGAACCCACGACCTTCCGACTTCTAGCATAGTGCCTCAACCAACTACGCTACCGCATGCCCCCCCTTAAGCTGCTAGTAGTCTTATATTTGGGTGGTGGCTGACTCCTCCATAAAGTTTTAACACTCATTTTCCGCAGCCCAATTGAAGACCCAGCTGCTCACTTCACAACCTCCAGTCCGATGAATTGTCCGAGGGCCTCATAAAATATCCCCTTGATCCCCAGATGCAGCTCCCATCTCAGTGTGTTCATTATGCCAGTGTTACGTTTAGGTCATGCCTGATGTCTCTTCTTATACGTCCATTCTTTAGGGGTTCCATGTACAATATCATTCTTGCTTAGCCCCTGAACCTTGCCCTTTGTGTGATGCAAGAATGGCATGACAGGTCAATGATCTTCAGGCAGAAGCCAGCTTCTGCCCTGATCCACTATCACCCTGGGTCTGTTTCTTCTGCTGTCGACAACACCATATAGCTAGTTGCCAGTCTCCATATCAGTTTTCTGGTGCTCCAATAGTTTTCACTTCCTCTTCTTCCAGACACACTTCCATCTTGGTTTCTACTTTTCCCCCAATTCACCTCAATCTTATACAGGCAGGCCTCCATCGTCTGTAGACTGACATCCATTAGGGCATTGATCCTTTCGTGATTGGCTTTCATTCTGGCCATCATATCATGATTACCTTCTATCTTGGCATGGCGGGCATCCATCTGGGAGAAGAAAGTACCTCAAAGGGTCTCTTAGCCTCTTTCTTGGTTTCCAGCTTAGTCATTTCTTCTTGGGCAGTTCTTATTCCAGCCTTCATTTCCCTTGGAATGGCATCAGTTCCTTTTTGCTTGACTTTCCATCCTTTCTTTCATGGCATTTATTTCAGCCAGCAAGTGTTCCAGTGTTTGTTCCATCATAATAGTATAGCAGTATGACTGCATGATGCGATCTTCAATCCAGTAATCAATCAATCTAATCCCACTTCTGACACAGTTGTTACGCTTTTATGGAGTGACTATGAACTGGGTTTGGATTGGTAATTGGATTTATTGAACACTTACAGAATACAACTACAGGTAACAATAGTGCTGTCACTAATTCACACACACTACAGTATGCACTAAGTCTTCCCAGTCTGCTGTATCTTCACTGTTTTTCGCCTTGTAACAGCTTTCTCAGCTTTTTGTTCACATCCTTACTGGCTGGCAACACTCAGGCTGGTGGCTGTCTCATGCCAACCTCCTCCTCTTGTCACTGCCATCTCAGTACTCTGTCACAGTCACAGCTGCTGCTCCTCATATAGCCTCAGCACAGACTGTGCAGAAAACACTGCCTTCGTTTGAAGAGATGAAGCAAAGGGTAACCCAAACATCTCTTTCTGCATGTATGGAGAGCTGGACCTGGCAGTGCATGTGAAATGCAGAAGGGAAATAAGTTAGAAACCAATGAAAGCATGTTATCTGGGGAACAGTAATTGAAATAAAATACATGACATATCTGGAAGCAGTAACGTAAGAGACTCACCCCCAGAGTAACCCAATGAGAAGCTCATAATGTGTTATGCTGAAATTTTGACTACAGGATATTTCAAGGGAGCCAGGATGATAAGGTCATTAAAGAATGGCGAGGAAGTACACAGACTGTAAATAATAACTTACTGAAAACACTCCAATATAACCAGATTTTTTTTAACATCATCAGAAGGCTCTCAGCCAAAGATGCTTATATCAGTTGCAGTTTCAGTGCAGTGCATGGAGATATCTGAAAATGAAACCTTCAGTGGCAGAGAACGAATAAGAGCAAAGATAAGAATCAGTTTCATTGAACAAATAAGAATTTTACTACTTCTCTTCCAGATAAGTAATGACAAAAGTATGGATCTGGAAAATAAATTCCTAATTTAATAATCTGTATGAGACAGTAGAACTAGCTGAAAGACCACGAAGTTGTAAAATACATTAGAAATCCCAGTACTCATATAGCATTGAAATAATAGTATAAGTGAATTGAAGTGACAGAAAGGTGCTTTTTGAGACCAGTGGAAGGGTTATTATAGATCACTTAAAGAAATAAAGTGATAAGACAAGAAGTTATTATTTTTAATTAAGTAAAGAAACAACAAATATGCTGTCAAAATATATCCAGAACATCTCCAGATCGTGTACTGTGAAAGTTGCTGAAGTGAAAGCCACAGGGAAGAAGATAAGGATGTCCCTTTAAAAAGCTGGAAGGTCTAGTTCATCATATAGAGTAGAATTAGGATGGGAACAGCCCAGTAGACCTAATCCTTGCTGGTATTATGATTATCACTGAGCCATCATGGGGCAGAGTAAGGAGGGCTCAGGGTGTCATTCTCTTGTTCTGCTGGTGTGTCCTCACTTCCCAAGGAGGACAGGATAGCCAAGACTAACTAGCAAGGTAATAGTAATACATATCTACAAATTCAGCTCTGGCAGGCATGGCAGAATAAGAATTATCGTGTGGTTCCAGGATGGACAGGTCAAGGCAGACCTACACTAACATGGGATGGGAAGGTACATCTCTTCATGTCAGTAGGCATGGGTCAGCATAACAGAAATATATTGTAACTTGAATATACATGGTGCAATCCAAACGTTCCCGAAATATATTAATAAAAACTATTACATCTTACCTAGATCTTGTTCTGCACCATCACCTTCAAAGTAGTCCTCTTGGGAGCGCATACACTGATCCCAGCGTTTCTGCCACTTTTCAAATGTATCCTGGAAGTCTTTCTTTGTTAGGGTGTTTAGCACCATCTGCATTTCCACTTGAATTTCCTCAACTGTATCAAATCTTCGCCCCTTCAACTTGATTTTCATCTTGGGGAAGAGAAAGAAGTCACATGGAGCTAA